GAGAGGAGGCCGGCCTAGGCGCGCCCCAAGTGGGAGGAGGCCCGCCTATGGTCATATTGGTTCCCACATATTCTACGAAGATCTTTATCAGTCGAACCGCAATGTCAACATACGTTATTCCCTTTGTCATCAGTATGTTACTTGCCCGAGATTTTATCATCGGTATATTCATACATAATTCAATCTCGTTACCGACAAGTCTCTTTACTCGTTCTGTAATGCATCGTCCTACAACTAACTCATTAGTCACATTGCTTGCAAGGTTTCATATGATGTGCATTACCGAGAGGGCCCAGAGATACCTCTCCGATACTCGGAGTGACAAATCCTAATCTCGATCTATGCCAACCCAATAAACACCTTCGGACAAAAAATGTGCTATCAAACGTCACAACGTAACTGGAAGTTTTCGGATAATACAATTCTAGCCCGAATAATAAAAACATTTATCATGAATAAGGAAATCTAAAATAACAACTTTATTATTGCCTCTGGGGCATATTTCCTTCAAAAAGTTAGTTCTATGACACTAATTGTTTTCTGCTCCAGCCACAACCCTATTATGGGGACGTCTATTCCAACTGATGCCCTAAAATAAGGCACCAAAACATCAAAACTAAACTAGATCATTGCAAATTCGATCCATTCATGCAAACATTCAAAGTTTTAAACATGCAAACTTAAACATAGTTCGGATACAAACTTAAACATAGTTCATATACAAAGTTAAACATGCTTCAACTACAAACTTAACATAGTTTGGGTACTGCAAATTACGGGCAACTACTAACAAGTACTCATCACTGAGATCCTTCCAGTCAATGTCGGAGCCCGACTCATCGTCCTCCTCCTTCACCTCGTCCTCTGAATCGAGCTTGATCACCCTCGAGGGGCCAACCTCGTCCTCCTTCTTCACCGGCTTGTTCCGATGTGCCCAGTACTCATACTCCGCCTGCACGAGATGCAATTTTCCATCGCAAATATCACCATATAAGCCTCATCCATTTGATGGATGTCGCCGATCCAAGATGATATGTGTTTCCTTCTTATCCGCAAGGGTCAACATCTCTATATCAGGACGGATGAAATCCGCATCTGCCATAGATTCAATTTATGGGAAGTTCAACTCCCATCTTTGGCTGGCCAAGCCTCCAACACGCAATGTCGAAGGCATGGGTGGCGATCTTCGGCATGTCAAACGTGTCGAGCCAATAGCCATTGCACGTGGGCTCATACGAGTAACGAACGGACCTCCACAGCCGAACGCCACGGAAGCCAGTTGAGCTCCGACAGCGGGAGGTGCCGGCGACCGAAGGAATGGTGGGACGCAGATAATTGCTCCAATTGCGCCAATTCATCAGCGGCGGGGAGGTGCGGGGCGGAGGAGGAAGCGGGCTGCTGGTGTGCCGGCAACCGAAGAGAGGAGGGGGTGGTGGATCTAGAATGGGGCGACCGGATTTGGTGGTGGCGACGCGCGGGAGGGAAAGCGGCCGCGCGTGGGGGTTGCGTCTGGAAGTTTCAGGTTGACGGTTGGCTTGCGCGGGGTTGTAGGCGGATGCAGTTTTGGCGTTTGGGGAGCCGCACACGTGATGCAAATTTGCATCACTTAGGGCTGATTTTTTTGGGCAGCAAGAAAACCACACAATTTCACGTTTGGAGCAGCTGTTGGAGCATTTCTTTTCTTTTTACCCAAAATGATGTGTAAAACGGTTTTTTGGGCAGCTACTCTATTATAGGGCTGCTGTTGCAGATGCTATGTTTTAAGAAATATAAGGCTGCAATTGTTTAGAGCATTTTGTCTTCTAACGCAAAGTGCTGGCCACGCATAGCCTCGCAATACCGGGAAAATATCAGGTAATACCAAACATTCAAATTTAAACATGTCAAAAAATTCATGTATGTTCACAATACATATGTCGACAACTCCTACAAAATTTAGATCAAAATTCGATATTAGAGAAACAAAAAGGACAAATCCATCATGAATAGTGTCAAAAGAAGAAAAAGCAAAACTGACACTATTCACATCTAAAATTGTCCTTTTCGTTTCTCCATGTGTATTTCAAATTTTGATCTGCATATTTTAGGAGTTGTCGACATATGTGTTGTGAATATTCATGATTCTTTTCAGAAATTTTTGCCATGTTTAAATTCAAATTTTGTAAATTTATATCATGGTAGTATGTAAGGGTTGGTATCACTTGATACTTTCCCCGCACTATTCGCGTGATGACATCAAAGGAAGGAACTCTGCAGATCGCACACTGATGTGCATGCTTGGGCAGTCCACGGCTTCATGTTTTCATGTCGTATGACCCTATTCTAGCTCTTCGCCTCTTCCCTTTAAAAGACTGATAGATACTTAAAGATGAAGTTAGTCTTGTGCGCGCACGTCTGCATGCTGACAATAGCCAGCTTAGCTGGACACTCCGTCACTGGCTAGCTAGCCTGTAGTAGCCAACTAGCCATTGTTATATTTTCTTGAGTCATTATCTTCTTTGTAAGAGTAAAAATTTAATAACCACGTGCCCGTCCGCGACCGCACCATGTTTCAAAGTAATTAATTAATATAATAGCCACTTGCCTGCACATTGGCACGATCAATATCGATCTACCCATGTCACGACTTGTGCTGGAAAGTAGGAAGGGAGACCAAAGGCAGTCGACGTTGCTGTCGAGCACGTAATACTCTGCCTCGTGCAGCACGTGCCTTTTCGAGCCGACGCATTCATCAAGACATTCCCTATTATTAACCATATGCAACGTGCATGCATGATAACAGTGGATTAATCATACGAAAGCGTCCCTTGAAGGGTTTCCACCAAAACTATGGTAAAGCGCCTGAGTTTTCTCGAGCATGTTGTCGCACATAAGCCTGCACTTGGACAAGTTATACTTATAAAGAAAAAGTTTCTCTAACAGAGAATACACATGAAAATGCAACTGATCATCAAAGAAGAAAGAGTAGTGGTTAAGGTGTGGGAAGAAGCTCAAACAAAAGAAGTTCAATTGTAATCATGTGGCAGCTTGGGCTTTAGCCCCTCTGGCCGAAAGCCCATTTAATGTTCAATTTTGAACCAATGGTGCTATCACTTTTGCATGATTTTTTGGCCGAATGATCTCAATCTTTTGCGAATTCAGGTATCCTCTGGTGGTGTTTCTATGATTAAAGGTCTTAGAGCCAATGGTGGGTGCCCTTATGGGGCTATCGTCAAGGAGATCCAAGCTCGAGCAGAAGAATTTGAGGAATTTAATTTTATGCATGAAACTATAACTAACTTTTTGAAGCGGAAACTCTAGCTAAACTTTGAAGTTGCTTGAATAAAGAGTCGTTAATCCTAAAAAGAGGTAATTCGGCTATATTTTTTCAAGAAATTGGAAAATGCTTACAATATAGAAAAATAAGGAAAACATGAGGACTGTAAAAAAAACACATTGTACGGTTGTGAAAAAGTAGTAGGAACCCTTTGAGCCCTTATCTCCCTCCTCCTAGATTTTCCTTTCACCCTCCTTCAAAAATATTCCCCTTTTTTGTGAATCTTCCCGAATATTTCCAGGAGCTCGAATTCTTTCGAGCAAGCAATAAACTAAGAAACTAGTGTGAAAGACGTGGAAAGGCTCCAAGAGTATGGCGGACATGTTATCCTATACCCAAACATAGGTTCCATAGGTCGATTACTCTCTATCCAAGGTAATTCACGTTGGCTGAGATCTGGAAGATTTGAGAGAAGCAATTCCTCTAATCCTCAAAAACCATGATTTGGGCATCCCCAACAAACATCAAGGGTTCTTCCCTTTTGGAAAGGGCAATGAACCCCAAGAGAAGTATCAGAAGTAGGAAGAAAAGTAAGGCAAGTATGAGAAGAAGAGCAAGGAACTCCAACACAAGTAGAAAAATACCATGAAGAAACATGGATTATCAAGATTCAAGAAATTTGCCCCACAACCGCATGTAACAACATCTAGACCCATAAGTGGGGTTTTTAATTAAACATAAGCAACAGACTCATGGTTGCTCTAAGTGTATGGACAATTTAGCCCACATGTTGTTGGTTCCCGAGATTTGTGACCCCAAAAAGAAAAGGAAAAGAAGAGAGTTGTCTTATGTGTCGATTCTCTAATTTTGTAGTCATATTATGAATTTCAAGTCTTAGGGAAGCCACACTATTAAGACAGGATGTTAAAGGCGGAAGAGAAATGCTTAGTGCTCATCATATTTTTATTCTTTTTTTCGGGTGAAAACATTGTATTACTCAACTCATATTGTCATGTTTTTCTTGCCAAAAAGCCAAAACTCAAACCCCAAAACCCTTCCCCTTGTCGTGTTGAAGCCGCCAAAGCACCCCGAGTCTTTGGGGCTGAAAGCCTCAAGTTTCCAAATGTACAATGGAAACCAGATTATCCGGTGGTTGCCCCGGGCCTGACTCATGGTCGCTTAGTTAGGGATCCGGAGTATCCCAAGTCGAGAGTGTCTTTCAGAACTACATATCATTTCGCACGTCACAATATATCCATGGCTCATAGAAATTTCCACACAACACAACATATTATTTTAGGGAGTGTTCTATACTAGTGATGCAATAGAACCCAATGGTGAGACCACCACTAGTTCATAAATTTACATGTGTAATAAAAGGATGTGTTATAATAGTTACAGTTATTATCTTTAATATCATTACCATCGGTATATCCTTTTCTTATATAGATATCGCTCTCAAATTTGCTTCAAAGAGTTAGTATAGGTCACGAACTACTGCAAAAACAACATCTGAATTATAATTGCACCAAAAAGTCTCGACTGGGTTTGAAGAGTAATTTGCATGTGGAACAACAATAACCGGCCATTAATTACCACTCGATCAATTGATTCAAGAAAAGGTTGGGTTTGTGCACAAGAGGGGAGCTGCCCTAGGCGGCTAGGCGTGCATACACAATGTAATTGAACAAATTTACCAATAACTAACCCTCTTGCACGCCCGCCGAGCTAATCAACAACCAAATCAATCAACAGAGTTCCCCGTATTCGTGGAGTAGAGTCCATTCCGATCCCACGCATCCATGAGCAGATCGCTGGCCGGGTACTCAAGAAGGTCATCGAACGACATGAGATGGATCATGTCGATGTCGCCGTCGACGGCGCAGTAGTAGTAATGTCCCTCCCGACCGTCGCCGCCGCCGCCGCTGCCGTTGCCCACGCTAGCATCGCTCTCTGAGCCGGCGCGGTTGTTCTCGTGAGTGGTTGTCGACTCGGTGGTGCCTGCAGCTGCAATTGCGGCGGCCCCTCCGCCACAGCCAAGAAGCTGGCACGCGAACAGTGGGAACCGTGCCGGAACAGGAGGCGCCGTCGCCCCGGAGGCCATGCTGCTAACCGGTTCCTTCGCTCGGGGCCCTGCTAGCACGGAGGCCTTGTCATCGGCGGCCGGAAGGTCACCCTGCTGCTTTGCGCAGCCGCTGTCCCCCTTCCCGCCTGCGGGGCTGGCGTTCTGGCGCTTCCTGATGCGGGAGTTCCAGTAGTTCTTGATCTCGTTGTCCGTCCTCCCCGGCATCTTCGCCGCGATCACGGACCACCTGATACAAATTTCATGGAAATTTAGCCTCCTGGACGACCGATCCCAAATGTTCCACAATCAATTACGAACAAGAAATCTAGAATGCAGTACCTGTTGCCGAGTGATTTCTGGAGCGAGATGATGGTCTCCTCCTCGCGCTTGGAGATGGGCTCCTTCTTAAGGTCCGGCCGGAGGTAGTTCATCCACCGTAACCGGCAACTCTTGCCGCTCCGCCGCAGCCCGGCGAGCTGCGCCACGGAGCTCCAGGTGGACACGCCATGCCTGGTGATCCGGGTGTACAGCCGCTCGTCCTCCTCCGGCGACCACAGCCCCTTCCTCTCCTTATGCGCCTCCACTTCGCCGCCCACGTCGGCCTGGCTCGCCGGCTTCTCCACCATCCTTCCTTAGCTTTTTTGAGTAGACTCGCTGGCTACTCCTGCGTCGATGGAAAGTTCAGCTAGCTAGTGTACTAATCGCAGCTGGTGCTTAATTATGTGGTGATTGGATCTGCACTACATTTATAGGATGGGTATATGCTATTGGACCTTTCCCTACCAAATATGGTGATCCATCTGTACACAATAATCAATTGTCCTATTTGCAATTGCGTTGCGTTAGTCTTATTCTAACCTATTTTTGTATCTTAGGGTGGAGGCATCCATCCTAAAAGTTACCATGCCACGAGCATGCATGTGCTTATAGTGTACTATATGTGTATCTCCATCATGATTCATGCATGTGCAAGCCAGTAATATCATGCACTAAAAGCATGTTAATTTGTGTCGCTGGAAAGTTTGTAATTAACCTTCGAAACTAAAGCACCCTCGAACAATGACTAGCTTCCTACCCGGCCACCAAAAGGAAATATATATAACGTAACCAATGGATGATCATAGTCACAAACCAATCTAGCATTAATAATTAAGTGAGCATATGAATCCATGCAGAGGTAGGTAGTAACTTTTTGTCAGCTACTCCTTTTGATGGTGTGCTGAGTGCTGACCAGTTTTTGTGGTTACTGTGCACTGGACACCATTGCCTATGTTAGACAGTAACCAACTATGCCATCGTAGTATTCCCTTGAGGAAGAGACAAATATTAGGCATACAGCCAATGAGAGACAATTGCTTCGGCACAATCAAATTAAGGATGGGCCAGGCCATGCATGCATAAAGGTCATCAAGTCACCATCCTGCTAAATTTGTAGTGTACTAAATTAAAGAGCAAAGATTTTGGTCAAGTCATGCCGTAACCACTTTCCACAGGAGTATGTAATTAAACACAAGTGAATTAATTTACACGTGCTGCTTCAATCGTTATATGTTTGTGGTTGAAAAGCTTAAGTTGGAGAGTGATCGATGGTTAATTTGAGCTATCTACCTTTCGATTTGAGTGAAGCGAAGACAGAGATTTATTGATCGATCATAAAGAAAAACCCCTGATTAGATGTTCATTGAGGCTTTCCTGGGGTCGTCGATCCCTGCACCCAACTCCAAAGGTTGAGATTAATTCATGAGCGAGTGTTCCCTCCTTGTTACCTCTCCAATTTCACAGAAAATTTCAGCAAAAACACATTGACCTCCTTGACAACATTTTCTATGAACATAGAGCTAACTAGGAGTATAACAATTAAGTTGACTTACTTTGGGCTTTAGGGAACTTTAAATATGATAATAGAACTGACTATACACTATGTGGTTTGTATTCCTTGCGTCCTAGCTATTGATGTTCTATTGCAACAAAAGCAATGACTCGTATCGAGGAAAACACAACATTTTAGACATTGTTTCACCCAACTTCTCAAACTCCAATTTATATCTTGCTGGATATATGGAAGCATACGCATCGATCAGATCATAGTTTTATTTGCTATATGAAAATTATTGGTCAAAACTGTATTTCCATGACCTTGTCCATGTCTAAAACAAAGCTTGAACTGGTTAGAGTATTGAATTGCTTACCCTCACAAAAAAGGAAAAAGGAATTGCTTCGAGCTAGTAGCTATTTTTTTATGCTCTACCTCCAATAACTAGCAAGATATTTGGAGAGCATCATTAACGGAGTCTGAATTATGCATGTGGTGAGAGCGAGTGCATGTAGGACAAACTTGTGGCGGCCATCTGTCTGTATGTGGACTAATCTGAATTAACCAAGGCTGGACCATTCCATTGTTTAAATTGCATGCACGAGAAGAATCATTAATCTACTTTATCTTCCATGGAGAAGAGGCCATATACTACAGCTTAGCTACCTGTCCAGAACTAAATGAATGTAAGCACAGATGCAAGTTGCATCTGTCTGCATGCCTTACGTGTGCATGCATGCATCTCGTCTGCCTGGATCTGTCGTTGATTAGTAGTACTCTGACTAATCAACATGAGAGTAACCGTTGTCTGAGCTACGGTTTCGATGTTTGACCAAAAACTAATCCAATATCATTATGTGGGATATATGTGTAATGTGACACAAATTTATACCATTCGGCTCCTATATCTATCCTCCAGATGAACCTCTTTTTTTTTGCTGTGATTATCTAGCTATTAACAATATATTTTAAATGGAGATTTAGGGCCAAAACCTGGATTTGGACACCCAAAATATGCCAGATACTAATGTGGAATAATACTGATCATTAAGTTCTGACAAGACAATGTCTATTGGCATGGGCAACATGACAATTAAATAAATATACTCAGGCCGCCAACGCGGCTGCTGTGGCGTGTGGACCGTTTGTCTCATGCTGCTGCCTTCTGTGCTGTTGCGCTTAGTACAGACATTGCAAAAGTCTGGATGGTTAGGTTTGTTAATCATTATTGTCTGGCCATACTTAGTCCCATGCATGACGATACCGATAATTGAGCATTAATTCTGTATGAGCTAATGATCTAAATACGTCCTAATTATGGCATCAATATGCAGCGAGAGATGCGCCCAAAGATTCCCGGCAATGACCTGTACACCTTTTTCGTCGATCTGAATTAGTACGCTGCATCACTTTTCAGGAAGGTTAATTATTGGACTAATTAAGGAGCAAGTTGGTTTGTGACCCCATATGATAATTTAGTGGAATCTAATGATGCATCTGTAGTAGGTAAACATGGGGTTTAACTTATCTCGCGAGCCATTAGCTGGTCGCAAAACTGCTGTCGGGCAAGAGAATCAAATGACGTAATTAAGGTACGCACAGCATGTCACCATCTCACCTGAGCTGCATGATTAGCGGTTTTGGATGTGGGTACTCTCTCTCTCTCTAAGACACCCTATACGAGTTTTACCTTTCTTATAGAAACATCTCCTTTTTCAGCAAAATGAAATATTACATTCCATTGCAGTGGCAGTACTGGTTGGTCCCTGGGGCGATGCATAATAACATTGCCAGTACTTCCTCTGTAACTTAAAAAAAAATCGAAAAGAAGGATGATCCTCGGACTCTGCATTTGGGAGATGCATACGGCCATTTTATTGATTATTCTTGAGGACCTTACAAAGTATAACAACAATATGCCTGAATCAGCCATCTTAGCAGCATCTGTCGCTGCTCCTATCCAAATGATGAAGGGATGCAAACTGAGCCACATACTCATACCTCTCACCTAAGCCTAACATCTAAAGCCGGAGGCCCCGACCGAGCCATCTGCCGGGTCCGGGGCTCAAACCGGTCTGACGCACTCACATGTGTCGTCGCCGCCATCTTCCACTGGTCTATCTTCAGAGCAGATTGAGGTGACAACTTTGACAGGTCCTCCGCCATCGACGCCACCACGACGTCAAACGACGACCTCCACCTATGCGAGCCTTGGCAGGTCCTCCGCCATTGACGCAACTGTAAGATTGGGAAAACCACACGTTGTGGTGCCTTGTATTGATCAATATATAGAGGTTACAAGGCAGAGTTCGTATCGTACAATATACGGACACCTATACAAAGACTACACATATACAACCGTATATCTATACACATAATACGGTTATATATTCTAACACCCTCCCTCAGTCGTAAACGGGCGTCGACGAATGTTAAGACTGTCCCGAAAATCCAAGAAGAGAGGGGATGGCAATCCTTTGGTGAAAATGTCCGCAAATTGAGAAGAACTCGGAACGTGAAGAACCCGGACCTCGCCTGTGGTGACACGGTCGCGCACAAAGTGCAAATCGATCTCCACATGCTTGGTGCGCTGATGATGAACGGGATTCTGTGTCATGGAAACAGAGCTCACATTATCACAAAACACCACAGTGGCACCAGTCACTGGTCGATGAAGTTCCTGAAGAAGTTGCCGTAACCAACATGTTTCAGCCACGACATTTGCAACTGTCCTGTATTCGGCCTCGGCGCTAGACCGAGAGACCGTGTGCTGCCGCTTAGCAGACCACGACACCAGGTTATTGCCAAGGAAGACACAATAACCTGAGGTAGACCGGCGAGTGTCAGGGCAACCTGCCCAATCAGCGTCAGAGTAGGCCAGCAATTTGTTGGAGTTGTGTCGAAACAAAGTGAGGCCATGGCCGGTGGTGCCGCGGATATAGCGAAGCACACGCTTCACAAGTAGCAAATGATTAGTCCGAGGATCATGCATATGAAGACAAATCTGCTGCACTGCATAAGAGATGTCCGGCCGAGTGAACGTGGGGTATTGAAGACCGCCTGCAATACTACGATACTTAGTGGGATCTGCAACGGGATCACTAGACTTGGCTGAAAGTTTGGAGGTAGTATCAACTGGAGTAGAGATGGGTTTGCACTGCAACATGCCAGCTCTGTCAAGAAGATCCAATGCATACTTCTCCTATGAGAGGAACAGACTGTCCTTGCTGCGTGTGACAGAGATGCCAAGAAAATAATGAAGATCGCCCATATCCGTCATACTGAATTCGGTACGAAGAGTGGCAATCAAACTGTGCAACAATGTCGAGGATGATGCAGTCAGGATAATGTCATCCACATAGAGCAAGAGATAGGCCATGTCAGCACCATGCCGATAAACGAACAGCGAGCTGTCGGACTTGGAGCCAATGAAACCAGCCGATGCAATGAACGAAGCAAACCGCTGAAACCATGCACGAGGCGCCTATTTCAAACCGTAGAGTGATTTGTGGAGACGACAAACCTTGTCAGGGAAACGAGGATCAGTGAACCCAGAAGGCCGACGAGCATAAACAGTCTCGATGAGAGTTCCATTGAGGAATGCATTCTTGACATCAAGTTGGTGGATGGACCAGTCACTGGAGAGAGCAAGAGAGAGCACCGTACGAATAGTGGCTGGCTTGACGACCGGGCTGAAAGTTTCATCAAAATCGATACCTTCGCACTGAGTGAATCCACGAAGAACCCAACGAGCCTTGTAGCGATCCAAAGAACCATCAGACTTCATCTTGTGACGGTAGATCCACTTACTAG